TTGGTCGGTTCTGACTCTGGTGGTCTGTGGTCGCGCTCAGGGGTGTGAAGACACTTGGTCGGTTCTGACTCTGGTGGTCTGTGGTCGCGCTCAGGTGTAAAGACACTCGGTTGGTTCTGACTCTGGTGGTCTGTGGTCGTGCTCAGAGGTGTGAAGACACTTGATCGGTTCTGACTGGTGGTCTGTGGTCGTGCTCAAGGTGCTGGGGGATGATACCGCCTGCCCTGCCCCCCTCCACGGAGTGCTTGCACCTCAGTTTTCTCTCTTCACATATCCCTCTGCCCCACTCTCTCTTCTGATAAAATGTATGGTAGGCATCCTCACCCTTTCCTCCATGTTTTTAACAGCACTTTCATATTTCCCATTCCTTATCTGTCTTGCTGACATTCTGGATAATTTCTTCAGATCCACCTTTCAGTTCACTAATTTTCTCATCAGCTGATCAAATGTGCTTTTAAATGAATTCAATTTTCCATTTCAATAATGATCATTTTCAATTCTATAAGTTCCATGTTTTTCTTTTTTTTGTGTGTGAGGCAGATCAGCCCTGAGCTAACATCTGATGCTAATCCTCCTCTTTTTTTGCCGAGGAAGATCAGCCCTGGGCTAACACCCGTGCCCATCTTCCTCTACTTTATATGGGACACCGCCACAGTGTGGCTTAACAAGCCATGTGTCAGTGTGCACCCGGGATCCGAACCCGCAAGCCCTTGGGCTGCCAAAGCGGAGCGTGCACACTTAACCACTACGCCACCGGGCCAGCCCCCATATTGTTTTTCTAATTTGCTGGATTTTTATAGTGTTTTGTTCATCACATTTTCAATCCATTCTTTTATTTTGTAAACATATTAAACTTATTTTATATTCTCTGATTGATGATATCACTATCTGAAGACTTGCGGGTCTGATTCTTCTGTCCTTTTTTTCTGCCGACTCACTCATGGTGCCTTGTTTCCTGGTGAATTTTGTGATTTTTGGCTGTGAGTTTCTATTTTTTGGAACTTTACCTCTGGAATTTCTCTGATATCTGTGAGCTCTTCCAGAAAAAATTAGTATTTGCTTCTGCCATGTGACTGGGGGTGCTACCAATCTAGAACCATTTAAAAAAAATTATGAAGTATGAGTTTTCACTCCCAATTCACTTTTTCATGCATGTCCTTCCTGTGTTGCCTTTACACAACCCTTAGCCAAAGTGGAACATCTGGTGATAGAAACAGACCCTTCATTTCACTCACAGCAAGAGAAATAAAAGTAAAGATACACCGAGAGACACTTTCTTACACATACAACTGACAAAAATGCAGAGGTTTGATGGCACACTCTGTTGTCGGGCTGTGGGCAGACAGGCATCTCACACGTCGGCAGTGGGGATGCTGAATGCTGCCACCCCCGAAGAAGGAGAATTTAGCAATAGCTAACAAAATTACTTCTGCATTTACCCTTTGACCCAGCAATCCTACTTCTAGGGATGTATCCTGAACACACATTGGCAAAAATTCAAAAGAGCTTCTCAAAGGGCAACTTATTCAGTAAAATTTTTAACAGCCAAAGACT